GTGTATCCCTTATTGCAACAATCTCTGTAGCAAATGACATAAATGGTAGACTAGAGCAGCACCATGTGCCTCTAATCAATTGGCCACATGATAGCAGTGAGCGACCTTTTAAGGGCCCCCACACATACACCCAAAAAAAATCATTTTACTATATGGTAAAAGTCTTATACCCAATCCATTTAGAAGATGTAAAGCATCTACTTCAGAAATTAGAAATATACAGAGAAAGACTAGATTAGATTATAAAATGTTCCTAAAATCTGCTTTGGGGGGACTCTGAGTTGCCAGGGTGGAGGGGGAAAGAGGGAAGAACAGAAGGTGGGTATGGTCATGTTTCATTCTATATATGTATGAGATTCTCAGAGAATAAAAATTATAATGAAAATAGAACCCATCTTAAATACAAATTCAGTCCCTGTCACCTCACACAGAATCGCTGCTTTTGCTATTTGTTTTCTCACACTCTGTCCCTGTAAGCTTCATGAAGAGTCAGGAGACTTGTGTGGGGTGGGGCGGGGCTTAAATTGTATCTTGGCAAAGGCTCATAGGCCGTACTATGCTAATTACTGCACTTCAGTTTTTTCATCCTCTCTCTTCATCCATGATTACCTTATTATTATCATCTGAATTTTTAAAAGATGTCCTTCAGTTATGTCATAACATGTTTATGATTCTCTTATTCCTTCAGGTAGATACAAAATAATATGGTCTAGTAAGGGAGGCTTCAACTATGAATGAATGTATATAGCATTTATGATTTTCTCCAATTGACCAAAAGAAATGGAAACACTTCAGTAACTGTCACGGGCCTAAAGTGGGGTTGCAAAGATCAGCCTGCACGGGTGCTCTGTCTTTGACTTGCAAACCTTTCCCCAGGTTTATGTTTTTAAAAAATGTTTTTTGAAGCTGGAGAATTAAAAACTCCCAAATGCAGGGTGCATGAAATGCCATTAAATCTAGTATAAAACTTCTTGCATATGTCACATAAAGTCATGTATCCAGCATGAAGTTGGAATATCAATTGACAGGAGTCTATGGAGCTGGCACTCATTCTGAGAGACACATGTGTCTAAAATCCCAATAGCCCCTGAGCTTTTGGTAATCCTGGAATTCAAAAAATATTAGCAAAATCATTAAGGTGAAAATCACCCTAGTGTTTGGGATGATTCCCACATACAAATTATTTATTACAGTATTTCTAGAACACTGAAAGAGTATTTAAACATCATCCCTATCCATAGAAAATAAAGCTATAAACCCACCAAGTTCTAGAAAGAATATCTGAAAAGACTAAGAAGATAAAAGAAGTGCCCAAGAGGTCATTCCTGCCTGTTGCCACACCTTTACCCTCCTTAGCTGAAAGGATGAGTGTGGAACTCTAGTTCATCTGAATTCCTCAGCTCTGTCATCAGAGCTGTGACACATTCTAATTTTCTGATTCATCTGTGATGAATAAACACTCCCTTTTCTAGTCCCAGTCCTCAAAGTAACCAATTTTGTGAGTTATGATGACTTATTTTTTTCATTTCATTGCTGAATTATTATTGTCTCCTCTTAGCAAGTTGGTCTTACTCTTTGTTGCCCAGCATTAACCCCATATGCAGAAAAGCCCACTTGGCCAGTAACATTGCCTGAGCTTTGAACTAGTTCAGAGTAAAAAACTGACAACCAGACTTCTGTTTTTAACCCAGCCAGATACCTCAGCTGGCAAGCAGCTCAGCTTCCTCACCATAAAATGGGTATAATAATAGCTTTCCCTTACCGCTATGAAATATTTAGAATGCAAATCAAGCCAGACCTATCTCCTTCCAAAGCGAAGCATAAACTAGCCTGCATAATCCTGAATGAGTCTAGATTTCAAGGGAGAGTATCAAGTGGGAAGCACTAAAGGTGGTATAATTTAGTGGTTACAGTATGTGGACTTTGGAATGGTGCAGACTTACTCAGAGGCCAGCAGCTGTGTGATTTGGGGTAAGTTTCCTAATTTCTGAAATCTCCTCTTTCTTCTATTAAGTGCAGGGTAACAGTATTTTTTCTTTATAGTGTGGGTTCAGTGATTCACTCTACCAGTACTTCTCACACTTGCACTCAGGCAGGCCTCAAGTTAGAGTGGTTCAACATTCAGGATGCCTACTGGGACACTGCCCTGTGTGCCACAGACAGGACACTTCAGGGAGGTCTCAGGTGTTACCCCTGAAAATGATGATATTTTTCTTTTCACTCCTCAGTATATTCTTGCTTATTTTACTAAAGTAGAAGTAATACAAGGCCAAGAAGAACATCTGTTTTGTTTCTTCTAAAACATCCAAGAAAAAGTCAATGGGGAAATTGATACATATGCAAACAGTTTAAGTTATTTACCCACAAGGAAAACTAGCCATCAAGGAAGACTGCCATGTCTTAGTATTGGTAGCTCTCTGTACCCCCATGCTTGCTCCCTGCACACCCCTGGGTTGACACATGTACACATGTAGAGAAAGAAGCCTTTCTTTACCAGATGCCCAGAAGCACATCACGTACTCAGAGCACAGGACCTGTCTCCATCACTATCATTTCTCCACTCCATACTCCTCTAGCCCATTGTGGTAATTATGCTATGGACATTTTTAAAGAAATTATATAATGACCCAAGTACATTATATGCATCGTAAAAGTATTACAATGAAGTCCATTATTTTGTACAATTAATATATGCTAATAATAATGAATGAGGAAAATATTATAAAGGTCCAGGCAGATTGAGGTCTAGGGAACCTTAAAGGAACTTGTATATCTCTAGTCCCACATCTTTACCTATTTATAGAGCTCCATTTTTTAATATTTTCTTTACTCCCAGATTCAGATTATGCTTGTTTTAACCTTTCTGAATGTGACTTAGAAGCAATTTTCTTTCCTTCCTTACCCCCACCCTCCCTAAGCCTACAGGAGTCATACATAGGCTTCTTGGGAACCAGACACTCCTTGAAACTTGTTTTTGAGCTTTCTTGGAAAAGGATTCTCCTAGGAACCTGCATCATCTCTAAATGTTGAAAACCACTGCCCTAGAACATTATGCAAATTGAAATTAGGTGAACTAGCCTTCTCAGTTACACTTAGGTCCTTGGAAATTGACACTTTGGTATCATTAAACTAAGATTGGACATTGATACGCGTCACTCTTCCTGCCCCTCCCTTTTTGAGCACACCCACTGCTATGTTTGAATGTCAAGAATTATTTGGCCTTTACAGTCTTCTATCCTTTGCTACATATTTTTGTGTTGAACCTGGAATGTTCAATGCAAATGCTTTAAATCCTATGCAAAACTATTCTGCTTAATTCTTTGCATTTCATATAAAAACAACTTACAGACATATAAGGTGAATATCACTCAGGTGGAAAGGGCATGTATCAATACATAACAGTTTCAACTGAGCAAAAGTAAATCTATGTAGATTAATACATGTTGTAAAATCACATAGCAGATTGTAATTCAATCAAGAAGGAGGGACCTTTTGACAGTTATGGACTTTTATGAATTTTACATGAACTATGAAATTAAATTTTTAGCCTTAATATTAAATTTGGGATTGCTTTTATTGTTTTGCTTTAATATATCAGGACAAACTTATATCCCCAAAATTTGCAATCTAACTTTGTTTTCTCTTAAACTGTAACACACACTGTAATTTTTCTCTCCATCTTAGATTCCTGTCATTGGCAGCCTGTGTATCATTTGACATCAGGGGAGATGGTTTATTAGTCTTCACATGTGTTAGTCAATCTGATAACTTTCTATCAACAAAATTTAATTTTAACTAATTTTGTGAATAACTGCTCCTCGGAGTTCAAATAGAAAGTTTACCTTCTCAGATATAGTTTTCAAACATGATAATCCATTTTTGAGAGTTATTTGGTGTATAACTTAACAATGGATAAGTGGTAATTCAGTATATTTTATAGAAAAATCACTAATCATAGTTCCCCTTTCCCCCAAAGATTAAAAAAGAAACCATGCCCCCCCAAAATAGGGGGGGGAATTGAAGAGGAAGAGGGAGAGGGGAGGATGTAAAATGGCAAAAGTGTGTACCATGCAGTGGTTTAGTGTCTTGGCTTGCAGAGAAGACATGAGTATACAAAACTATAATCTTTTATAGTTTTTTTATTTTGTATTTCCAATTTGTAAATACTTTTAATGATTCATACATAATCTAATTATCTTTCCTATAACTTTTGTTAACCCTATCAATTTTGTGAAAAGATTTTAAAGCATGAGAGATGCCAGGTGTCTCTTGCATTGCTATGCACTGTGATCCAGGCTGAAGGTTTTGTTACCTCTTCCTGTCCTAAAGGGACCACCACAATTCACAGCTGCATGTACACAGGCAGATTCTACACTGACCACACAGGAAAACGTTTCTTGAGCGCAGTCTCTACCATGGTACATTTGTCCAGAATACCTGGAAAGTGAGGACTCTTGAATTTAGTTTTCTTCTTTGGCCTTTTTCAGGGCAATCAGTTCCTTCAAGTTGGTATCCTTTAATAAAGTCACTTTGATACTTTTAGAGGCTTTAATGGTTAAGAACATCCTGTCATGTGCCCACAGTTTGGCAGTACATGTCTGATGTGATCTGGGGGTCTAGTGGAAGGACTTCTGTTATCTTATTTCTTCATCCAGAAGAAAACCTAATCAACTATAGTGGCACTCCAGTAGTAGTGGGTTATTTGTTATATAGTTTCAGGACTGTACAGGAGAATTATTAGACTTTTAAACATAGAATGTGAAACTATCATGGCGAACTGCCCCAAACCTGAAGAGTGTCATCATTAGAGACATGTTTGGAGTGCCGAAGTTTGCATCCCAATCACTATGTCACAGTATCTGCATCAACAGTAGACCTCTCTGCAACACAGAAGTGTTCTGTGTGAGGTTCAGGAAGGTCACTTAAAGCCACACGTGGCCATTGAGCACTTAGAATATGACTAGTGTGACTAAGGATCTGAATTTTTAGCTTTTCATTAATGCTAAAGTATTTAAGTAGACAAATACGGCTAGTAACTACTGCAGTGAGCAGGATCGCTGCTCTAGAAAAGCTGTCTGTTGGGGATCTGATGCAATCTACCCGAAAAGTTTTGGCACTTTCTATACTAGGATATACTGGCATCAGTCATAGCAAGGAGGCTACAGCTCTGGAAATTTTCTGAAGCTGGATATTAATAATTTTGTGTCTACAGTTGACAAAATTTGGGAGCAGTGAGTCCCATCAATCTCTCAAGGTTATGTGTTCCTTGCTGTGTTCAGTTTTGTGTTTAATTCCTTGTCTTTTCTTTCATTTTCAGTTCCTTGACCACCAGTCTGTTGCCTGTTCCTACTCTTCATGTAAGTAAAAGTGGCTTCTTTACCTTTAATGAAAGTGTTGGATTTGTGACTCTCTGGTCTTTGGTGTCATATTTCCTAGTTGGCTTCACTGTGGTGTCCGGCATCCGTTTAGTATGCTTTAGTGTTTTTCCTGTTTGGAGCCAATGCTGTTAGTGTACTGATGAGTTGTCCTCTGTGAGGGAGCCCAACAGCCCAGCCGTTGCCTTCTGAAAAGACTGCCCTTTCCCTCTCTGCAGCTGCTATTTGCAAAAGTCGCTGCTCTTCTGAACTGAAGCTTACAGTCCACATCCAGATCTCAGCAACAGTTGGGCTTTGCTTCACTGTCAATCAATGGGCAATTATTTATTCTCCAGTTGTTCACTCATCCCTAGGTCCAACCATTTTTAATTTTAACTTCTAGATCAGAGCTTTCATTTATTGACAAAATTTATAATATCGTTTAACCAAGAAGTACAAGACTGAAAAGTAAATAGGCAGAAAATTTGTGCAAAATTATAAAGTCTAGGAAGAAAAATAAAAGAAGTCCAGGATTCACATGTGCCAGAAGGTTTACAGAATGTACCATTTCTTTCCAGAAAAGATGGAAAGTTTGGGGGGGGGTAAGAAAGAAATGGGAAAAAACTTGATTTTAAGTGAAAAAGAGAGCATTTATTATTGAAAGATCAAACTTGGTCACACTGAGCAGATTTGGGGAGATATTATTTGGACTGCTTGGAAGAGGTTCTGGGGCAATGAAACCAAATAATCAAGTCACTACCAGAGGTACCACCTAAGAAACTCTACAGAGAAAGGCAGTCAGCTCATATCCTAAGCAACCATGGGTGTCCCTGTAGCTGCATCTCCCTCTGTTCCTTGTTCACATTACGTCACTGACTCTTCACTCTTCGGATGTCATAGTGATGGGCACCAAAAGAGGTCTCTGATTCTGCTCGTGTATGACTTCTACTAACATTCCTAGAAACTTGTGGCAAGCATATGTAAGGAAGCAGACTTCACCAAAAGATGCAGAGGTTGGGTGTGACATTTTATCTGACACAGAGAGGAGATTGATTGATTAGACTTCTTAAAGTCTGGTGCTGTGTTAGACAACAGGGGAGGTCCCACCTCCCCGTTAGTCTTCTTATTCTGGGTCTCAGTGGTGATAGAGTGGATCCACTGATGCTTTGGAGAAGTCAGTGTGCATGCTCATGGTTACCACTAAGTGTCTTCCCATCCTTCCCCTCCCTTGTTACCTAGCACTGCATATTTCTAGTCCTCTGACTGGCAAATCTTTTTGTAACAGTTCTTTTGTGTAAAAACAATTCGCATAATAGCTCAGTGTTAGACAAGGCATTAATCCTCACATCACCAGGATGAGTCAGCACGATGTACTCCTGCCTGCCTAGCTCAGCTATTATGACGTCAGTACTTTAGGGCAAGCCTCAGACACAAAGTGTATAGGAGACCTATGTCACCTAGTAGAAATAAAGAGAGAGGCCTATAGTTGAAAGGCTGTGTCTGCCTCATAGGAAAATGTGAAAGTAAGTCTGTGCTGCATCAGTAATCCACTGCAGAGCAGCTTCAAGTGGGTACTCCTTTTTTTTTTTCTTTAAAGCAGAAGAAAGGCTGAGAAAGAAACCTGTAACAAGCTAATAGTCCATTCATGTACCTATGACCTTGTCCCACCCCAGGCCGGGCTTCATGCTTGCTTGACTTGTTAGAAATCCTCAAGTTGCCTTCCTGCCAGCAGGATGACAGGGCCAATAACAGTCCTGTGTCCTCAAGTGGCCCCACAGACACAGCTGATGCCTCCAGGGGTGGTGCCCTAGAGGCCCATCAAAGGCAAAGGAAAAGTTCCTTGGGAACAAACCAGAACATTATCCCCCCATGCCTCTCATCCCAAGAGGCTCTTTGATAACGTCCTTTGGACAGGTGCAAAATTCAGCCCGTCTGACCTTATGTCCTTAGTACTGCATCCAGTGTCCGAATCTGGAACTGACCAGATTGAAATAGAAGTTGAATAGATGCCACACTTTCCTGCAAGAGTTTTCTGTCCCATTCTTCAGCAGAAACAGAAAGGTAAACCTCACAACCTGCCATGCTGCCTTGAAGCAGATGAGAAAGGTGGGGTGTGTTTTGGAAGCCAGGTTCTTGTAAGCTAGGCCTCTGTTCAGATTCAGACACATTCTCAGGACAGTACCTTACAGTATTAAAAGTTAATCACTGGAAGGGTGATCATGCATTCGCTTACTGACATTCTCTGTTAAAAAGAGATGCCCATAGCAGCCTCTTACTCTCGCCCCAGCCAGTCACCAGTCCCTGTGGTAACCATCAGAAAATGCTTCCCCACTGGGATTTTCCACCTTCATTAGAGCTCTGTGAGGCTCCTACCATGCTCCTAAGAGCTCCTACTACTGCTTGGCATGGTTCTGATTAATTATGCACAGTTCTTTATTTGGTTTTCAGTCAACAAACGTTTATAGAAAGCTTGTAACCACGCTGGGGTCTGGGAACTCCAAGATAAATGAGAAATGCCACCTTTCATTAAGAATGGCACAGGCTGGGGCTAGCGGTACAGCTCACACTAGAGCACTTGTGGTAGAGTTTGGTGAAGTGGAACAGGAGTGCAGCCTGGGCTTGCTTCACCCAACAATGCAAAAAGAGAAAGGAAAAAGCCCTCACAGTCAACTGGGAAAGGCTGTTGTGTGACAGGCAGGGGAATGCAGGTATCATCTACAAGTGCCTACCCATATAGGAGGTTCAAACTGACCCATGAGGTGACAGTAGTGAGTAGGGGTTTCCCAAGTGGGCACAGCAGGAGAGCAAAGAAAAGGTCTCATTGTCGTGGAAATAACAGAATGTTTAAAAAGGAGGAGGAGGAGGAGGAGGAGGAGGAGGAGGAGGAGGAGGAGGAGGCATAAGTATCCACTAGATCTAGGTACCTAGTACTCTGGTGTGCTAGAGCATGGTGGACTAGCAAGCAGGCAGGAGTCAGGACAAAGGCCTCCGATACCAAGCCAAGGAGTTTGGACTTGGTCTTACAGCCTTGTTTTTGAAAAAATTAACGGAAATTGCTTAAGACCTGACCTGTGCAGTGGATGGAGTGGAGAAATTATTTTGGAGTACTCATAGTTGTATAATTCCAGCATACCTTTGCCCACTGCGTAATCCTTGCCTTCTAGGAGAAAGGCTGATGTGATACAGTGCCACATATAAAGACAAGCCCATCCTTATGGGAGTTTCACTGAAGACCTCAGTTTGCTGACGTCTATCTGAGCTGCTGCCTACTGGTCTTGGGATATAGACGGGTCTTCTGTCCACAGCCTGGGATAGGAGGAAAGAGAATATAAAAGAGACAAAAGCATTTAATAATGGTTCTCTAAAGTCAATCAATCCCCGATTTCCTGTCATTTTTCCATTGCTGCCTTTTTCTAAGCAAAATTTCCAAGCCATTGAACTGAATTGCAACTTATGCACAGCCGGGTGTTGAAACAATTCAGTATATTCATTCCTTCTCTCTGAATTAGAGTTCACCATAAGTGTGCTTTTCTCTTGTTCACTTTGGGCTGCCAGGACAATTTAAAGGAGAATTTCAGCAGCTTGTGTCTCACGTACCATGTTCTCTTTGCAAACTGGAGTATATGTGTGGGCGTGTTTAAGTTGTCTCTATATTGCTTTCTAGAAAGGTTGGAGAAGATGAACAAGATGAGGAGTAGGGACCTATTAAAAGCTCAGATCCCCAGTGACCTGAGTGCAGAACGTAGGCTGGTGATCAGATGGTCAATTATGTGTTTGTCAAAACACAGTGGGCTGCATTCCAGACTGCCAGCTTTGGAGGCCCAGCTTCTGCCAACCAAATGTCATCTGGGAACATGCAACACTGGGCACTGTGAAGGAGTTTGAAATAGACCATGCCACAGCCAACCTACTGCCAGTCTTATAGCACCAATATGGCATGCACAGCCGGGCCCCATGTTTCAGAGCTCAGGAATTCACTGTACTCAATTCAAGGGGTCAGATGGGTTCATGTTTTCAAAGCCTATGTTCTCTGCTTTGAACACTGTGACTTGTTCCTCAGCAATTTCCAAGGGATTTTTCCAGTCACATCTCTGTGGAAACCACTCTTTTTGTGATTGTTATGAGAGCCTTGTAAAATGTCCCAGAGGAGGGGGGGTTAGGGGAGAGAACAAACCTGCTCTGACAATGACTGTGACTCCTACAAGGGATTCCAACTCTAAGGAAATTACATTAAAGGTGCATAGCTTTTAAAATATCAGGAACCACCTTGGCAACTTATAAAAAGCAGAAGGGCTTTGCCTATTTTATAAAGTGATTTGCATATACCTGCATAAATAATGTCCCCACCTGTACTTTTATGCATTTAGGTTGAATAAATTAAATTCAGTGATCTTTAAAATATTCTGTGCCTTTCATTACTCAGACACCATTTTCAAGACCCTTCCTCTTCATTCCCCTCTGTGGTTATAGTGACTATTTGTTTTTGAGTCTTTTGGCTAATTCTGAGAACTAAAGTACACTGCAGACCAGTCCACCACAACCTGAAACATTATCTCCCTCTGCTTGAATTCCTCTTTTCCTTTCTACCATTGGACCAAGAGTTATATTTTTTCACAAGAGAAAATGGAGGAGTATATTATTAATGTGAAAGCATATCCCAAGAAAGGATTAGTACACAGCTCAGAGATATTAGCCATGTATTATTTTCTATTAACCTTTTCTTTCCTTTCTTCTCTCTTGCTCCCATGCTGTTTTTCTCTGTCTCTTAACAAGGTTATTATGTAGCACAGGGATTACAGACCTATGCCATCATAACTGGATTAATCTTGGCCTTCTTTGGCCATGGCCAGTGCCCCTTCAGAAACCACCTGTCTACTAACTCCTAACAGTTATAACTTGGGCCTTCACATTGAAGCTTGCACAGTAGACCTGCCCTAACCACATCCATCCTACAAGATTTAGGCATTTGCCCTGTTTTTGAAAAATCATGTCTAATGGAGTTA